CTTTCTTTTTTTTTTTTTCTTTTGGGTCTGGTCGTGGGGCCTGAACTCTGGGCCTGAGCGCTGTCCCTCAGCTCTTCAGCTCAAGGCTAGCACTCTACCACTTGAGCCACAGCGCCACTTCTGGCTTTTTTTCTTTTTGCTTATGTGGTACTGAGGAATCGAACCCAGGGCCTCATGCATGCAAGGCAAGCACTCTACCACTGAGCCACCTTCCCAGCCCCTTGTGTCATACTTTCTATACTATTTCATCTACAAAAAAATTATCTCACCGGGCGCCGGTGGCTCATGCTTGTAATCCTAGCTACTCAGAAGGATGAGATCTGAGGATCCCAGTTCAAATCCAGCCTGGGCAGGAAAGTCCGTGAGACTGATCTCCAATAAACCACTAGAAAACCGGAAATGGTGCTGTGGCTCAAGCGGAAGAGCACTCGCCTTGAGCTGAGGAGCTGAGGGACAATGCCCAAGCCCAGAGTTCAAGCCCCACAACGGACCAAAAAAAAAAAAATTATCTCTTAAGCCCAGTTGCCAGTGACTCACACCTATAATCTTACCTACTCAGGAAGCTGAGATCTGAGGATCACGGTTCAAAGCCAGCCCAGGCAGGAAAGTCTGAGATTCTTATCACTAATAAACTCAGAAAAAGCTGATGTGACTCTGTGGATAATTATTTCATACCAAAAAGGAGGCGCAGAAATGGAAGGAGGAGAAAAGTGAACAAATGCAGTCATGGTATTCAGTAGCCATTATGTAGAAAATGAACTATGCAACTTGTAGGCAGGGAAATAAGAGAATCTGGGGAAAAGCAAAGGAAGGGGTGATATTGTCCAAAAAGAATTGTACTCAGAGCCAGGCGCCAGTGGCTCATGCCTGTAATCCTAACTACTCAGGAGTCTGAGATCTGAGGATCAGGTTCAAAGCCAGGCCAGGCAAGGAAAGTCTGAGAGACTCATCTCCAAATAACCACCAGAAAACTGGAAGTGGTGCTGTGGCTCAAGTGGTAGAGCACTCACCTTGAGCTGAAGAGCTCATGGACATCGCCCAGGCCCAGAGCTCAAACTCCACAACCAACAACAACAAAATTGGGCTGGGAAGGTGGCTCAGTGGTAGAGTGCTTACCTTGCATGCATGAGGCCATAGGTTCAATTCCTCAGCACCACATAAGCAGAAAAAGCTAGAAGTGGTGCTGCGGCTCAAGTGGTAGAGCGCTAGCCTTGAGCTGAAGAACAGTGCCCAGGCCCAGAGTTCAGGCTCCACGACCAACAAAAGGAAAAAAAATTTACTTCATTCAAGTTTCAAGCATTCCCTCACTTAAGTCTTAGGACTGGTTAGACAAGAGTACATTTACTCTTCCTTAAAAAAAAAAAAAAAAAAATCAGCCGGAAGTGGTGCTGTGGCTCAAGTGGTAGAGCACTAGCCTTGAGCTGAAGAGCTGAGGGACAGCACCCAGGTCCAGAGTTCAGGCCCCATGACCGGACCCAAAAAAAAAAAATCATGGGGCTGGGAAGGTGGCTCAGTGGTAAAGTGCTTGCCTTGCATTCATGAGGCCCTGGGTTCGATTCCTCAGCACCACATAAGCAAAAGAAAAAAGCCGGAAGTAGTGCTGTGGCTCAAGTGGTAGAGCTAAACTAGCCTTGAGCTGAAGAGCTGAGGGACAGCGCCCAGGCCCAGAGTTCAGGCCCCCTGACCGGACCCAAAAAAAAAAAAAAATCAAATTCTTCCATATAAATTTAAGGACGAAAAGACAGGCTGACTCTATAACAGAACCTATATATATTCCCTCCATCATTTTTATTTTCCGGCTCAAATCATCTGCCAGTTCCTGCTTATAGTTCTGTTGACCAAGGAAATATTAGGAAAGGTCCTTGAGGACTTGCCAAAACTGAAGAAGAGATGTCAGTGTTCCAAGGTTATTTGTTATCAATTGTTTTTAGAAGGTAAACAATTTTCTTAAACTAATTTTCCCAATTATTTGAAAATAAGTTTTTAAAGTCTATAGACTACCTGTGAATTACGGTCAACTCAGAATTGACCATTAACAGCATTTCCTTATGGACCTAGTCAAAGCCCTATATTAACATAACTAGTAGACTCAAGAGTGAAGACATTTCATATTGATATCCTAAACAAATTTTACCTTTGATGATTTTAAAACTATGAAAATCACCATTGGTTCACATCTGTAATCCTAACTACTCTGGAAGCTGAAATCTGAGGATCAAGGTTCTAAGCTAACCAGAGCAGGAAAGTCCATAAGACTGATTTCAAATTAACCACCAAAAATAAAAAACAAAACACAATGGAGCTGAGGTTCAAGCAGTAGAGCCTTGAGCAAGAAAGCTAAAAGGATAGTGCCCAAGCCCTGAGTTCAAGCCTAAGTACCAGTTTTGTTTTTTTTTTTAAATCTAACTGAAAGGATAACCTTTCCATGTGTACTGTGAACGAATCACTTGATGGAAACTTAAACAATATATCTTATCACAAAATGAATGAATAAACATACATATTATAGCGGGATAAACGGTATCAAAAGGAAGTTGTGACTTACTCAGATTCATAATAAGGCTGCTACTGAGCTGAAAGAGAATACCAAATCTATAACTCCCCAAAAACTTGCTTCATTTATTAAGGTGTCATTCCTGGTGACTTCTTCTAGTTGGCCTTTTCTCAAACAGTTGCCACAATAGCAAGCAAGGTCATAAATTTAAGTAGGTAAATCTTTTTTCATTGGCTTCTTCCTGTGAAGACTGATTCAACATTTAATAAAATGGAAGCCCCCAAACTGCAAACTACTACTTGACCATCTTCATGTCCACTTTAGCTCAATCAGGATGTCATTTTTAAAACGTAACTCGCTGGTACATAGCAGAGATTAAATACTTCAGAATGTTCCTAAGCTGAGGTCTAAAAGGGAGTAATAAGGATGATCTCATAATGTCTCTTTATGATCTGTAAGCCACATTGTTCCATAAATCTGACACAGGTGTCAGGATTAAGTCAACTCTCTAAATAGGAATACAAAATAAGCAGTTGGCACTTTAATGACTTAAATCTAGAAGCTTGTAGAGAACTAAGGCAACTTTCACTTAGTTCTAACACTCCCCCCCCCAAGAAAAATTCAAAAGTCACTTCTTAATATTTTTAAATTTCAACAATGAGAAGAAACCAAGAAAAATCTTCAAGTCAAATAGAATTTTGTTGAAGGTACTTACACAAAAGTTTTTTTTTCATAAGTCTCTGAAATAATCTTTAAAAAATTTGTACATATATATATATATATATATATTTTTTTTTTTTTTTTTTTTTTTTTTTGGTCAGTCATGGGGCTTGAACTCTGGGCCAGGCGCTGTCCCTCAGCTCTTCAGCTCAAGGCTAGCACTCTACCACCACCACCACAGCACATCACTTCCGGTTTTCTGAGCGTTTTATTGGAGGTAAGAGTCTCATGGCTTTTCCTGGGCTTTCCTGCCAGGGATGGCTTTGAACCACGATCTTCAGATCTCAGCCTCCTGAATAGCTAGGATTACAGGCATAAACCACCGTCGCCGGCTAAAATATTCTTGTAAAGAGCAGTTAAAGCCTAAATTCAATAGGATTTGTATTTTTATCTAATTTGCTGTTGTACTTTAGGCAAAGAAACTATTAAAAAAGGAGTAAGTTTTACCATGACAAGTCATAATTACTTCTGATAAAGATCTTACTACAAATAATAGCATAAAGGCCTCCTGTTAAACTGAAAGTCTATGCATTCCATTATTTGTTAGCTGTAACCAGAGTTAATTTACACCTATCCTAGGTACAGTAGAAGCATCAGATTAAAAGCATCAAGTATCACACTAATCAAATTTGCCAAATATAACCATAGCAAAATGTAAATCATGATACAAAGTGAAAGGAACAGGATCCAAGGGGTTTAAACCTACCCACAAAATCCAATCCATGCTCGCACTGTGATTCCATCTACTGACAGGTAACTACCAATCCTGACTTAACTCACATCTCCCCAATATTGGCATCTTTTCATCTCCTAAGTTTCTGCACTATCTCATCACTTATGGGTCTTTGCAACCCTACTTTCCATGGCTTTTCCTCTCTTACAAAGTGATACAGCACCTGGCCTTTACATCTTCTTACCTTAACCATTTAGGTCTAAGTTTTGTTTTGCTTGACCCTATTAAAATATTAATTTTGCCTCCAGTTTGATTTTTCCATGACCAATTAGACTCTTACTTTTATCACTTTGTCCTTACTACAAATAATTTAGCCTCTCTCTTCAAATTAAAGTAACTCTTCTCCAGGCATTTGTAATTCTGACTCACGGTCAAGGAGATCTTCCTCTTCCCAAGGAGACTTTCACTACAGACCTTGGTCTTCGCCCTTATCTTCCAGAGTATGCCTTCCTCCCCGAGTTTGTCAACAGTAGTTGGACTGTGGTGGGATTCTGGACTCTTCTCAGTCAACAAAACCAGAAGTCTCCCACAGCCTGGGCCTGCCCATCCACCCAGGCCTGCCCGTGCCTCCACCCCCACCCCCCGGCCTCCCGTCTGGCTTCTCACTTCGCCGTGTTCCCCACCATTCCCTACTCCGGAATGCACCTCCTCTCCCAGGTTGTACCCGTAACCCTGACACGGGGAAGGCCCTGCCAGTGGCCCCTCGGCGTCTCTCCCCTGGGTTTCCTCCGTTGTTCAGTAACTGTCCCCACGCCTTCCTTCCAGGGCCCCGCGCGCTGCCGGGAGCCCCCTCCTCGAATAAGCTCCCGCTGTCACTTGGCCTCTTTTCCACAAGATGGCGGAGCTGCTCCCCACCCCCTCCCTAGGTCCCCCTCTGTAACCCTCTGCCTCCTTCCCGGACCTCAGGTCTCGTCCCTTCAGCCGCCCGGCCGCCAGCCTCCGCCCGGGGTCCCGCTGCCCGCTCCTGTGGTCGGCGGACAGCCCAGGCCCGAGCCCACCCACACCACTAACGCCACCGCCTCCACTCATCCTCGGCCTACACCACATCCTTACCATAAACTTGAGCGCTTTCTCCTGCAGTACCGCCTCTGCTGGGTCCATAATCGCCGAAGCCACTGGGTCCGCTCTCTGCCGGGGCCGCCCCTTTGGTGCCAGGCCGCAGCCAACGCAGAACCCGAATCCCGCCTCCTCTTCCTTCCCCCGCCCTCTCTTACCTCTCCTTCACAGGCCGGGGGACCCACGAGGCGGACCAGCAGTTCTGCGCATCCGCGACGGGTAGCCTTACGGGATTTGTAGTTTTGAAGCGTCCCGTGGCAGGGAGCGAAGCTATGCAGGGAACCTCAACTCCCGCGGGTCACTGCGCAGGTTCGCGGCTGCCGCCAAGCCAAATCTAGACACCTCCCCCTCCCCCCCACCACACACACACACACCTTGCACGAGATGAAAGGGACTGATGGGAAGTGTAGTTTACAGCATCTACGGATGGAAAAGGGGGGCGGGGGCGGGGTGTCTCCATGGTTACCGAAAGACGCTAGTGGCGGCTTGCCTGGCTTTTAATATCAAGATGGCGGCCCGTGCCTTACCTGTATACAAAATTCTGGGAGAGTATTCAAGGGTCCTCAGGCCTCTCCACCCGTGATGTTAGAGAACCAGACCCTTCCAAATTTCATATATCTGGTGCTTTCAGGAGGATTGCGACCTGGAGGGCTTGAGCCAATGGACACGTGGCAGGAGCTCATACAAAACCAATGCAGGTTTCCAAGGTCCTTCTAAGTTACTGACTCATATATATAGATATATATTTTTGGGGGGGAGGGGGCCAGTCCTGGGGCTTGAACTCAGGACCTGGGCACTGTCCCTGAGCTTCTTTTGCTCCAGGCTAGCACTCTACCACTTGAGCCACAGTGCTACTTCTGGCTTTTTCTGTTTATGTGGTACTGAGGAATCAAACCCAGGGCTTCATGCATGCTAGGCAAGCACTCCACCACTGAACCACACTCCTCATATTTCTGAAGAGCCTTTTCTCCTCCACAGCAAGTCAGGGGCAGAAGCAACAACTTAGCTGAGGAAGTTCTCTGTGTTTAGCATTTAGAAAGCATGGCCTGCTATTGCTAACCCTAAATCCTGCACCAAAAGTCAGACAACTACTTACATCCATTCAACGGTGGAATATAACCAACATCCAGCAAATAAAGCATATAAACATTTTCAATGGCCTTGAAAGGACAAAATGAACTTTCTTCTGAAATTGAATGTTATTGGGTAAAAAACTAGAACTGGAGCCAGTCTGCTGCTGATGGTGAAATTCTAGTCCCAGTCTCTGATCTAAAAACAAAACAAAAACAACAACAAATTTTTGCTATTGAATTGTAAAGGTTAAACAATTCCACAGAAATGTACATGGAAACTTAGAGCCTATTGGTGAACTATCAGAAGTGTTTAAAAGTTGCTTTTGCTGAAAATTACTGACTACTTATTGACTGGGCCCAGGAGTTAACTAAAAAGCAGAAAAGCTAGGCGTACCTGCCACCATTTTGTCTGCTTTAGGCATTCTGCAGTCACTTTATAATCACCTTTGGTTTAAGGAAGCACAGAACTGGTAGATAACATCTTTATGACAATGGACAGAAACTTCCCCTAAGCAATTACATAGCTTGCTTTAGAAACACCTTCCCATCCATACAAGATTACTGATTTATTTGGGCCACTAATGACAACAATTACAACTTCTCTGGAGCCTCTTCCTAAGAACTTAAATAATAATCCATTAGCCATACTTTGGCTTGAACTGTTTAAAAATATTATACATACTTTTCCTTTTCTCCAATTCCTTGTCTACTTAAGGCTAAAGCTTATGTCTGTTCCCTGCAGATGGCTTAAGTGCTGTCTTGTGACATGTAATAAACCTTTTTCTGAGCCAGGTGCCTGGGCGGCTCATTCCTATAATTTTAGCTACTCAGGAGGCTGGTATTTGAGGATCATGATTTGAAGCCAGTGAGGGCAAAAAAAGTCCCTAAGACTCATCTCCAATTAATCATCAAAAAAGCCAAAAGTGGGGCTGGGAAGGTGGCTCAGTGATAGAGCACTTGCCTTGCATGCCTGAGGCCCTGGGTTCCATTCCTCAGCACCACATAAGCAAAAAAGAAAAAAGCCGGAAGTGGTGCTATGGCTAAAGTGGTAGCATGCTAGCCTTGAGCTGAAGAGCTGAGGGACAGCACCCAGGCCCAGAGTTCAGGCCCCACGACCCAACCCCCCCCCCCCCAAAAAAAAAGCCAGAAGTAGCCAGGTGTTGGTGGCTCACACGTGCAATCCTAGCTACTCAGAAGGCTGAGATCTGAGGGTCACGGTTCAAAGTAAGCCCAGGTAGGAAAGTCTATGAGACTCTTATCTCCAATAACCACCAGAAAACCAGAAAACCCGAAGTGGCACTGTGGCTCAAGTGGTAGAGCACTAGCCTTAAGCTGAAGAGCTGAGGGACAGCACCCGGGCCTAGAGTTCAAGCCCCACGACTGACAAAAATTAATTTTTTTTTTGGGGGGGGGGTCCGGTCGTGAGGCCTGAACTCTGGGCTTGGGCGCTATCCCTCAGCTCTTCAGCTCAAGGCTAACGCTCTACCACTTGAGCCATAGCACCACTTCCAGCTTTTTTCTTTTTGCTTATGTGGTGCTGAAGAATTAACCCAGTGCCTCGAACACGGAAGGCAAGCGCTCTACCACTGGGCCACCTTCCCATCCCCCAAAATTTTTTTTTTAATAAAATGTTTTTAAAAAGCCAGAAGTGGAGCTGTGGCTTAAGTGGTAGATTGCTATCCTTGAGCAAAAAGCTCAGGGACAGTGCCCAGATGCAGAGTTCAAGCTCCAAGACTGGCGCACGCACACGCATACACACACACACACACACACACACACACACACACACACACCTACCTTTACTGCCCTTCACTGTCTCCTCATTGGATGCATAAGGGACAAGTGACTGGCTGCCTGACATTGGGAACTTCTGGAGTTTGAACCCTGGGTCTAAAAGCTCCAATTTCATAACCAATGTAATTATTAGTAACTAAGTTTGCTTTTGTGTATATTTTTAAAGTGTTAATATAACTTCAAACTTCCAAGAAACTTGCTGCAAGTACAGTCACAATTCTGAAAATATATTTCAAAATATATTTTCAGGGCTGGGAAGGTGGCTCAGTGGTAGTGGGCTTGCCTCGCATGCATGAGGCCCTGGGTTCAATTTCTAAGTGTAAGGTGTAAGGTTCGCTCCTGGATGGCTAGCAGACTCCACCCTCCTCGCAGCAAAGTGTCCACCCAGTACCTGCGTTACCTAGGCAACTGGGACACCTGGAAGAGGTCACATCTGCATCCGCTGAGGTCACATCTGAATTTGATGTGGCCACACCTTTCCCCGCCCATACCCTACATAAGGCCTAGCCCAGGCCCAGACTCTCCTTCTCTCTCTATTTGTTTCTAGCTCTCTGCTCTCTCTGTTCTATTCTAGCTCTCTTTGTTCTTACCTCTGCTCTCTCTGTTCTATTCTAGCTCTCTCTGCTCTTTTCTAGCTCTTTTCTCTCTCTTTACCAGCTCTCTCTCTTTCCCAGCCACGTGGAGTGCCAACCTTGCCTGGTCCCAGCAAGTCTACTGAATAAACCTACCCCTTACCTGAATACCACGTGCGTGCTGGTGCTGTTCTTACTCGGCAACCTCTTTTTAAAAACCTAACATAAGGTATATTAAATAGGTAGGATTCATTAGATAGCCGATGAAGAAAACACCATGCGCTAGTCAGCAGGGCAAGAAGTTTATTTACCAAACTGCTGCCCTGGCCATGCATGGTGGTAGGGCATGGCTGAAAAGGAAGGGGCGACCCACCCCTGGGCCAGGACTTATCTAGGCCAGGGACAGGAAGAGGTGTGGCCACACTGGATTCAGATCAGACTTCAGGGTCTGGGACCCTCCTAGGTTAGTTGGGAGGCATGTGTCCAGAGGTGGCTCAGGATGTGACCAGCTGGAGGGGAAGGTGACTGCTTCCATGTGTGCCAGTTACCTAGGTAACAGATACTGGGCGGAAACTTAGCCAAGAGGTAGGGAGGTGTCCCTGTGCAGACCTTACATTAAGCACCACATAAATGGAAAAAGCTGGAGTGGTGCTATGGCTCAAGTGGTAGAGTACTAGCCTTGAGCTAAAGAGTTGAGGGACAGTGCCCAGGCCCAGAGTTCAAGCCCTATAACCAAAATATATATATATTTTTTTCAACTGGATATAAGAACTCCACCTAGCCATACTTTACTATTTCCTATAAATCAGTACATTTCTATATTACTAGTATATTGGTATATAGCCATCAAAATTAGGAAATTAATATCAATAATTATCATTTTATCTTTAGGCTCCATTTAATTTTTTTCAGTTGTCCCCATAATGTGCTTTAGAACAAAAGGATCTAGTTCACAATCACCCATCACATTTGTTTTTCATATTTCTTTGCCTTTTTTTCTTTTCATGCCAGTCCTTTTTTTTTTTGCTCAAGGCTAGTGTTTACCACTCCGTTTTTCTTGGGAGGGGGGGGTGGTTTCAGTCATAGGGCCTGAACTTTGGCCCTGGGCACTGTCCCCTCAGCTCTTCAGCTCAGGGCTAGCACTATACCACTTGAGCCACAGTGCCACTTTTTTTTTTCTGCTTATAAGGTACTGAGGAATCAAACCCAGGGCCTCATGCATGCAAGGTCATGCATGCAAGGCAAGCACTCTACCACTGAGCCACCTTCCCAGCCCCCTGCTCTACCACTTTGAACCATAGAACTACTTCTGGTTTTCTGGTGGTTAATTGAAGATGAGAGTCTCGTGGACTTTCTTTTTTCTTTTTTTTCTGCCAATCCTGGGGCTTGAACTCAGGCACTGGGCATTGTCCCTGAGTTTCTTTTGCTCAAGGTTAGCACTCTACCACTTGAGTAACAGTGCCACTTCCAGCTTTATTCTGTCTATGTGGTACTGAGGAATTGAACCAAAGGCTTCCTGCATGCTAAGCAAGCACTCTACCACTAAGCCACATTCCCACCCTCATGGACTTTCTTTCCTGGGCTGGCTTTGAACCATGATCCTCAGATCTCAGTCTCCCAAGTAGCTAAGATTAAAAGCTGAGCTTTTAGTACTCAAGGATAGTGCTCTACCACTTAAGCTACAGCTATACTTCCAGC